AAACTAATCAATCGAAAATGATGAGTTGTAGAATGGAGATAGTTAAACACGTTTGTGTCCTAGATTAGAGTTGACTGTTGGGAAGTTTTTTATATTCAGAGTTGATGAATATAGGGTGAAACTGTGGGTGTCAATCAGAAAGACAAAGGTGAAAGATGTGTTTGTGAAAATTTGATTATATTTACACTTGATCAAAACAATCAAGAATAATGAAAAATTATTGAGAAGTTAAATAACTTATAAATTTGTACAATTCTCAGAGAAAAACCGTGAATATTCGATACTACTTGTTGCTAATTATAATTCATCATATGTTCCGCTTCCTTGACTTTTCTTTTCAAAACAAACCTGTCGACATTTGTTGTTTTATTTCTAATGATTTTGTATTTGAACATTTTCTAAATAATCATCAAAGCGTTTGATATACATTGATGTGACATGATACTATTGGTAATTTTGTTTTTCAAACAAAACGCGTGCCGTTAGAAAGATCATGATGACACATCATATTTATATTGTTATTAATGTCATGCTCATCAATTTGACATAAATCATATAAGTCAAAAGACATCATGATCCAATCTTTTAGAACAACAAAAACAACTTAATTATAAACCACAGTTTATTCTAAAAACTAAACTTCAGAAGAAAAGAACATGTCAGCATGGATATATGTTATGAGGTGATATTGTTAACAAATGTTTTTTTTGAGTGTTTTCACAAGAAAAAAATAACAAACAGAAGTGTCGAATTAATATTCAACTATTCCTCAATTGAAAATTTATTTAAGCTCGAATTAAATCATAGGTTGTTTTGACAGCACAGCCCATCATTGTAAATAATCCAAAGTAACCAAATGAACCATAACGACGTTTTTCAATTTCACCAGTTGAATAACCCTGGAAAAAGGCTAGTCTTCCAAGCAACCAAACGACACCAGCGATTGATGAAATAAGTGGATATCTAATTGAACCTAATCCTAACATTAGTAGAAATTCAGGATAGACTTCTAAAGTATGTTGATGCCCACGTTGTATACCTTATAGTAAAAAAAGAATCATTTTTATTTCGAAATTTTATAAAATTTTCTACATACAGTTAAATTTCTTTGCATTAGCATCTGACTCACTGGCATAAAGTTTTGGATATTCAATACTGTATCTAAATAAAAAGAAAGATAAGCATATTTCATTTACACAAAAGAATTTTTTTTATTAGTTTCTTGGAGATTGATACTCTTTTTTTCTAATTAATTTTATTTAACTGATAATTTTTCGTAATATTCGAAAACTTACTGTTTGCGTGCTTTCACTACTCGTACGCCCATATATTGTAAGACAAACCATGATGATACTGCAACACCAGCTGCAATTCCATGTTCTCGTGACAAGACAAAAGTGAAAAGTTTAGGTGTATTATAATGAATATTCATCTTTCTACTCTTCAAAATATAAACACGAAAAAAAAATCTATAAAAAAAACAAATAAAGATTATTCATTCATGCTGTTTTTTTTCTTTTCTACATATTGATATTAGTAAATCGACGGACGAGTGTAAAAAACAGACACG